TAGATTATTTTCTTGAAAGATTCTGGTGGTGAGATTCATCTCCAGGTGCCTACACTACAGGTTATGTAGATATATAGCTGGCTAAACTCACACTGTAATCATTAGAGATCTTGTCAGTGGAAAGAGCTGTTCTAACTATTCCTCTGTACAAGTTTAATTTCTACTTTTCAATGCAATTAATTGACTCCATTTCAACTACTTCTTCATTGGACCTAATGGAAGCTCAGACACATATCTCACAACAAAACACCTCTACTGAAGAAAAGTAAGTTTGAATCTTACTCTTAATGGTATCACAGGAAAGAATGCAGTTAAATGAAACCCTGATTAGCATAAATGTAATGTACCTGTCTCAATATGATGTAATTTTTAATAAAAAAATTTATACTATCAAATGGAATCATAGCAATAAATAGGTTTTCAAATGTCATATTGATAATTCTTCACAACTAACTGTTCAGCTGGATTTTTTTTAATTATCTCCAAAAATAAAAATTAATTCCAAATGCCAGCATAAGTGAGCAGTAGGTTTGTAAGATGGTGACTGATGATTGCATTGTTCTGAATTCTTGAGTGCAACCTTTATGCTAACTCTTTTTTTTTTTGTTGTTGCTGTTTTTCTTGTCAGGGAAATTCTCACAAAAAAAGGTTTACATTTCCATTAAAATTTTAATTGTGCTGTTTAAAGATTTGGTGGCCAATGAATGCAAATACCTATATTAATAGGAAAGGAAAATAAGAGATTTTGAAAGCAGATTTATTGCAGTAGGTTAGGATCATAGTGACAGGTAATAAATAGAGGCGACCCAAGTTGAGGCAACAGAACTGTGCGAGAGTTGCTTCTACTAAAAAAGCTTTTTTTTTCAATGAATAATTTACATAATTTCTGGAGCTGAAGGAAACTCTCCCGCTTTAGAGGCTAATGCAAATTAGCTCCCAAATCTTGGTGCAGCAAAACTCACAATCCCAATCCATTCCTGAGTTACATGCCAATAGTTTTCACTGACCTGATTGTCAAAACTACATCTGTAACTTACAGTAAATGCAAATCATCTTTCCTCTTTAGCCACAGCCCCTCTATATCACTCTTCATTGTCTTCTTTGCAACCAGCCCTTTGTACTGCAAATATTATGATCAGCTGGACTTCACTCAACACATCTTGTTTAAAGAAGACTTGAGCTTTGTAGAATTCATGGTACAGGTGTTGTGCATATCTGCAAGGGTTCCTGAGTTCTGCTGCCCAGTTAGGGGCTTATAATAAGATTGAGTCTAACTGAAGATTTAGCAAAGCTACACTTATTTCTTGCTGACTATAGCTGTTAAAACACTTAGAAGCAGGGTAAAATCTTGCCTTTTCAAGAGAGCATGATTTAGCATTCATTAGCTTCTTCTAACATTTCTAAGCAGGTATCAGCTCCCAGGGATAGTTTGGTATTACATTATCTTGCTGCCAATGCCATGGAGAACCTTTAATGTTAAATGAATTTAATGTGCTCTGCACCTTAGATGTGTTTTCCTGTGCTCTGTAAAAGTCATCCCTTCCACTCATTTTGTGTTGGCATTCTGCCAGTGCATGTCAGTGGCAGCCATACAGTGCTTTGATATTTCTCCATAAGCACAGCAAGAGAAGTACCATGAGAGGGGAAATCAAAAGCCGAGCACTGCACTGTGCAGTGAACACTGTTTGTACAATATGAAGAATGGGCTTGGGAGAGAACTACATCTCTGCTAATCAACTCTAGGAAGAGACAATTAGTTTATTGGCATGAAAATCTTGTACTATCTCAAATATCTGTTTTTCACTGAGCTAATAAAATGTGGTGTACCAGAGATACTGCTTGCTAAAAAGTGCACACTCATTCCCTTGTTAAAAAATCATGCTTTGCATTATAACTCAAAGTCAAATCACCAGTTTTATTACCTAAATAAATGACTTATAGTATGAATTAGGTCTGGATTTCATGAGTGTAATTCCTTGATAACTGCTAATATTGACATGTTATCTATGTTGCCTTTAAAAGGGGATGAAAGTGTGTGTCACTTTTGTGTACTCCACTTTCATCTCAGATTCCTGCTGGTTAGGAAGCCATGTGTATGAAAATAAAAGTGAATAGCAACAAATCTGGACAATTCACTAAATAAATGGAATGGAGGAAAATTGGATTCCACCCATTCAGCCTTATTTAATTGAAAATCAGACAAGGAAACTGAAAAATGCTCTCAACAATAACAGGAAATGATGATTTTTCTGCTGCCCTTTGAGTCCATAGAAGAGTAGAAGAAATCTTATGGTAGAGACTAAATATTCCAGTTGTTTCAGCAAAGGTTTCATTCCATTATAACTGCAGTAATTTCATGTATTGAACTCCAGCAGGGAAATGTTGCACATGGTATTTATCTTTATATGGGAAACTTTACCTTGCCTGCCTATGCAGTGTCAGCTGATATCATTCTTTGTGAAATGCAATGATGGAATTGGGGCATGTGGATCATGATTTGTGGGTTCAATATACCATAAAATCTTCTGGTTTCAGCTAGTAAAGTAGGTCTGATTTTCTTTAACAGTTCACACAGGACACACACTTGGGTGACAAACTACTTTGTTTTCAGTTAGTGTAGGCTGACCTGTAAGAAAATAAACACATTCACGATTTATATCATCAGCTTAACACAAAGTATTACACAGTAGTGTTGTTTTATGCTGGGACAAGAACCTAAATAATTTGCATTAACTTATCTGCATTTCTTTCAGAGTAGCATTTTTAAGAATGATTTCTCCTGCAAGCTACAATATGTACATGAACTTTTCAGATAGAAGTCACACTTTTCTGGTTTGGTTGCAGTTTTTTTGTTTCAGTTTGAGGTTTTTGTTTTAGTTTGGGTTTGTTGGTTGGTTGGTTAGTTGATTTTTTGTTTATTTTTATTTTTTAAAATCCCAGCTTCTGAGTAGATATTTTTCTCACTGCTATAGGAAGAAGAGAATTTTTTCCTCTTTTGGTTTGTTTTTTTTTTGGTTTTTTTTTGTTTTTGTTTTTTTTTTTTTTTTTTTTTTGTTTTGGTTTTGGTTTTGGTTTTTTTTTTTTTCCCTTTCTGTCTCAGGTTTTGCATCAGGATATTTTTATTAATGATATAGAACAGATGTTTTCAAATGCCTTATTGCTGTGCCAGGATGTGCCACAGGATGTGTACAATGACAGCTTTTGGACAATTCAGTATTAGATATTTTTTGGGTGATTCTGATTTGAAAGGTAGCTGTGTGCTGTCTCTGTGCTTTCAGGAAGCAGTCACTGCCTAGATAGATGCTCCATCTATGCATAATCTGGTTTTGGTGTGGTTTTTATGGACTCCTAGGGGGCAACAACATTCTTCTCTTTCTCAGACTCAAAGAAGAAATCCTGAGGATGCTTTTTTTCTTCTGTAGTTTATGATAAAGCTTGAGACACTACATACTGGAATTGTTAGTTAATTCATTGTGTTCAGCAATTTGGATTTCAGATAGCAATTCTCTCTAGTGCATTTATCACATTTTACATTGTTTTTCTCCTGTCTTCACTTACAAAACTAAGCATGTTCAGTCTTCAGGAAATGCCTCAGTTAAACTGTTAAAAGTTATTATAGCCAAGCACAATTTTCCTCCTGTCTAAAGAGTTCCTTCTGTAGTTCCAGGAGATAATTCTAATGACTTTTAGAATTAGTTACATTACAAAAGTTGCATTTCAGAATTTCTGTAGCCTAAACCATTAACTTAGAATCTTGTATCTGTTGACTGTTGCAATAAGAAAACAACTTTTTTTTTTTTTTAAGACGAAGTAGTTTATAAACAGTACTAAAAGATTTTTTCCAGGCACTGCTAGTAAATTCAATCAATTCCTAAAAATGACAAGAAAGTTCATCTATAAACATATAGTAGGGTGGATTGATCAACCAAAATCTGTCTGTTGTGTTTTTCCAAGAGTGTAGCCACTGCACTCCTCTGTGATCCCACTTGTCATACGAAGAGGGGGAGCAGAGTCTGAAGCTCTCACATTTCTTGGAGAGCTAACTGGGACCTGGGGGACTGCTCCTGGCAACAGGGCTTGTTCTCCAAATGGGTTCACATCACTGACACGATGTGGCAGAGCGCTGTCTCAGGGTTTCCTTGGCCATGTGTGTCTGAGAGCGAGCCTTTCGCTGTGGCAGGGCAATGGCAATCCCCGGTGGTGTTGACTTCACTCCGTCAGCCTCCACCACCCTTCTGGCTATAGTGTAACTCCTCAAAGCTACCAAATAAATCTTTGTTAAGAGCATGGAATTTCCACAGGTGCAAAGCACTTCAAAGATGGAATTCTGAGTTCTGGTCTCAGTGCACATTTAGAAGGGCCCATTCTGATGTTTCCAGCATCACTGATGTGCCTTCCTGCTGTCTTTTCAGACGGGAGTCACCAACAAAGCCCTCATTTATGCTTTATGGTGTCAGCAGGAGTAATTCCAGCTTTTCTCTTTTTTAAAACAGATAGACTGGGAAAAAGGGAGAAAAAAAAGTAAAAAAAAAAAGTGTGGACAGTAGAATAAAAAAAATATAGGTCTCTCATTTGTTGTGATCAAAAAAGAAATTCTTTCAAAAAGCATTCTGCACTTTCCTAGCTTGTTCTTATGTACAAAGGTAGAACAAAAGTTTATACTCAAGATATGTGTTTCTGAAATCAGAGGTTCATTTGCAAAGTATTGTAAAATTCCTATATAATTTTGGTATGTCTGTCATAAACAGTAAAATAAATTAACTTCTCATAGTGTTCAAAGCTTTAATCTTTAGATAATATTTTACATCTTTACAAAACTATGGAGAAGAAAACTTTCATAATGTAATATTAAGTTTTCTGGTTTTGCTTTTCTATATATATGATTAAAATTTTATATTGATGATGATGTGATATTTGGTGCCAGGTTTGTTTTTGATTTTTTTGTGCTTTTTAATATTAAATCAGTGTTAAAGATTATTTTTTCACTGTTTTAATTTCAGATTTGGATTCTCTAACAGGGCATGCATTTCCAGGTAACGTGGACAGTTAGATTAGATTGTTCTTTGTTTTATACTCAGTTTATTCTGTTTTCTTGGAGGGTGGGGGGAAAGGGGTGTTGTAAAATTTATTTGGTGTGCATCTGACAGCATTTTGTTACATGTCAAAATTGTACTATTTGTTGGGGTTTTTTAGATTTCAGATAAATGAAGAAAAGGTAGCTATTACATGCACTAGCTTAAAAATAGAATTAATTGAAAATTTGCATTAAATGTTAACTGTTATATCATTAATGTAAACAATCCAAGGGGAGGGAAGAATTATTCCAAAACAAGTCCTAATTAAAAGATTTTAAATTATTCAAACTTGCATGTGATTCTGTAAGACAGGCAAAAAAAAAAAAAATCAACAAAAACCCACTAGTCAGTGTTTAAGGAAAGCAAAGACTCAACAAATACAAGACTTAATTTCCAGTTTTATTACTAGAAGTATGTAGGAAAGAGGTTTTGAATAAGAACATTTTCAGTAGTGAATCAAGAAAGAATGATAACACAATTACATTAATCCTATGGATTCTACAATACATGCACATTTTTTTTCTGCTGTGTGGAACTTAAATTTAAAAATAGTACATTCAAGTAAAAATTTTAGAATTTTGCAACTGTACTTTACAATTCAAACATTTTGCATTGGGAATTTATTAGCAGAAATGCAAGAGCAGAGAATTTGATGCTCAGTTATCATGTGAACTCTGTTTCTTGTGCAGAGATTTTGGTACAGAAGGAATATAAATGAGCAGTTTCTGAAATAAAGTAAATCTCTGCTGCAAATATGTGGACTCTTTCTGTACTCAAAATCTTCTTGAATAATCCTTCAGTTGAACAGGCTGTGAAAACGAAGGCATAATATTTGTACAACTGAGAGATTTAGTCAAAATTTGGGATGCTAGTTATCATTAGAATGATATTACTATTTATTATGTCATTGGCTTCTAAAGTGTCTCATGCATAGTATAATATTCCTCCTTCAGTTTTTCCTTAAAGATAATTCATGAAAAGTTATGGGACAGTAGCTTCATTTGAGGTTATCCAAGCATTCCTGCACTGTAGGCATTAGGTATGCTGTAAGATACAGATCAAAAAAGACCAACAGAACAAAAAAATTTAGAAGTTCATTATAAATGAAATTAAGTTTGTGTGCAGTGTGGAGCAGATCTGAGTACAGATTCTGTCAGAGTTATTTGTGCTTAAATACAGCAGCACTACAAGTGAAGTCTGTTTGAGGAGTCAGAAGACTGTAAATGCAGATTTTGGCATTTTCATCCCAGATGAGAAAACTCTTATCCTGAGTATTTTGGTTTGGTTTGAGTGAGAATACCCATGGAATAATAATATACTGCTTAATTAGGGCCATCTTGTAAATTTGATCCTCATAGTTGCTGTCAAATATATGCATGTGTCATCAAAATAGACATTGAGGCAAGCAGGAATAGTGTATCTTTTTTTCTTTTTTTTTTTTTTTCCTCTACTTTTTAAAGGTTGAGTCTGCTTTTGTTTTTGCATGAATATTTTATGTTACTAGATGGTGCTGTCATGGTGTGTCCCATTCTTACTTTGTAATATGACAACATAATCATAAGGAGCAATACTGACAACAGAGCCGTATATTGATACATATGCTTCAGAATTATGGCAAAGATAAATCATCCTTATTCTGCATGGAAAATGTCCTGAATTGCACGACAGGTGATTTACATGCCTGCATTACATTCCAGGTGTAGCTGTGCACAAATTCATCAAAAGGCCCATTATTTAGCACAGACAGAAATATCCTAGAATCTAACAAACTGTCAAAGGGATGTAGGAGGATAGTATAGGCAAGCAATAAGCATAAAAGTCTGGCGTGGACTTCACTTGAATAGATATTTATTTGGAGACTCACAATATGAACATGCTACTGTGCAGCTCACAGAAATCACTAGAAGATCCATCTTGTATTTCCTGTTTTATTTGACAGAGTTAAGACATACTCTTTTCTCAAAGAAGGGTAAAAGTAGCAGAATGTTCTTTCTTGTCTTTAGCCTTACTTACATTTAATAATCAAGTCATTAGAGTATTCTGCTAGAATAGTGCAGAACATATAGTTACAGGTGTAGCTAATTTAAAAACCAAAAGGGATTCTTATATATATAGGCTGGAAAACACAGAACAGTAAATCCTGATACCTATGTGTTAACATGATTACTCTAGTTAGGCTAAAGTGTGTTAACTTTCAGCAGATAGAAGAGATCAAGGTATTACTTATGCATCTTTATTGGCAATTAGGTAATTAGCTGAGATATGTGTGTTAACAGGTTATTTGTATCTCACACTGAGCAAACATGAATCAAACTCATTTGAGATTTCTATTTATCTCACCTTGGAAAATAGCACACCCTTTGAACTAATCCAGCAGGATTCATTACAAGACCTCTAAGGGTATGGTGATCCAATAGATTTTCACTTGACCCTTGGCCTGTGCTCTGCAGGAGCAGAGCATGAAATGACTCCTTAAGTCATGTAGCAGTGTCAGTGAAATGCTGAATGGGCGCTACTGTCACATCCTTAGCAGGGCAGACAGACCAAACCTGCCTCTGCATTGACCTAATCACACAGGTTCCAGGCCAGGAGGGGTTTGCATGCATCTAGATGACTTTAAATTCATGTGAGTTCCCATTTAGGCACGACTGCTTTGTGAATTTCAGGATAAGAGGAAGTATCCCTATCACCACTGGCCCCATCGTGTTTTCTGTAGATTTCTGCAATCTCTACTACTTCAGAGACAGAAGTACAAACTACACCAAAGTATCTGTCTGGTTTTTATGTGAAGGGAAAAAAAAAAAATTCTTTATAAACCTTGCAGTTGATCAGCTGAAACCCTAAAGTATGAGATTTGATTATAGTCATTGTCTTAATGCAGAGCTGCAAGTGTTATGGGCATGTTGAGAACTTCCAGAAGCTGGATTAAAGCATCTCTTTTACAATGATATCTAATCTCGTCCTAAAGCTCCAAGCAATGGCGAGTCCTCCAGCTCCCCTGGTAAGCCATTCCAATATTTAATTACCCTTAGTGCTAGGAAATGTTGTGGAAAGGTTGAATTTGTCTAATTTCAGCTGCCAGTCTTCCTTTTGCTATGCCTTTGACAGCAACACTGAAAATTACCCCTTTTTCAGGTATGTTTTCTGAACAAGTGTCTGTGACAAACTTCAGTGACCTGTTGAAAGGTCTCTATGCAGAGAAGCTGTGTCACCTGGCCCAATGAACTTACTGCCTTGATCTGAAAACCTGGCCTCTTTCATAGACTATCACAATTTTATCACCCCTATGACTACTAAAAATTTTTATACAGTAGTCAAGATACTTTCAACTTTTGTTCTGGTAAATTTGATTCATTGTACTTTTTAAGGCTTACACTGTAAGACTGGTTTTCTGACAGCTGTCCTAGGAAACCTTGATTTTCAAAAACTATGAGAATATATTCATGTAGAGTTTTGTAAATGCTGTATATAGAAGTAAAATACTTTTTTATTTGTACATAACACTTCCTTCCTAATTCTCCCTCTTTAAGGATTTAGCCACAGTTCAGGTTACAGTGATTGTCTGTGTCAAACAAACCAAGTGGTAATCCTAAAAGGTAACTGACATTTGAGTTGAGGAATGAGCATTTTTCCCCTAGCTTGATGTGGCCAACATGAGATTTGAGGTGGAAGGGAATTCTCTTATGGCAGCATATGAAATCTAGTGGTTTCAATCTGGTGAAATCTGGGTGGGCACTGAGTTTTGGGTGATCATTAGTCCAAAGAAGAAGGAGAATTAGCCAGGATGTCTCTCTAAGGAATGGGACGAAAAAAAGGGATGAGACTTTAAAGTCCCATTTAAAAGCATTCCTCAGACTGCATCCCTGTAACTAATATTAATTAGCTAATTAGCTCACTTGGAAGATTAAGAATGTTCCTTTAACACAGAGGAGCTCCATGGTGAAGAGAGTTAATAGCAGTTGTCTGCTTTGATTTCCATGGGCAGTGAAGCACATCTATGAATTCCTGTTCTGAATCACATAAAAATTAGTTAGGTGCCACCTGAGCTAGGAATCTACAGAACGTGATACAAATGCACCTTCTGCATCTCTGTTGATTTTTCTTTTAATTCAGCTTTAGCATGTAGTGTTTTCTCTTTTCCCTGATACCAGCCCAAAGTACCCAACTGGACAGTAAGATCCACAGATTTTTTTTTTTTTGCATTGTGTTAATGGTGAATGCTGTTTTGTTGCAATTCATCTAAATAGGCTTCAGGATTTCTGTAATACCTCAGAGACAAAGATTTTTTCTTTTTTCAAAGACTTCTTCACTGTTGGCAATGTGATGCTAGATTTCAACTTCATTATTTTTTTAAATTTCTGAATGTCCATTAATAGTCTAGGGAAGAGACTGTTCTCTTCAGCACTGTCAGTAAAACTAAGACAGCGTTAAGTGGAATGAGCATTCTCAGGTCTTTGAATAAAAGCTTAAGCTATGGTAGGAACTTGGCAGGTGCAGTCCTGTGGGAAGTGTTTAGAGAAAGAGTGTCTTAAATGCTATTCAGATATGAACTCAAAATATCTATTCTAATTCCTGGATGTACCTGTCAAGGTAGTGGTCAGTGACCTGCTCATTTTCCAGAAGAAATAACACTTTGTCCATGTAATGGGCATGATTTCTTGAATTAGTTAATGGCCTGTTGAACTGTGCACTTTCCTAATCACAGATCTACTAGGTCAAAAATTTAATGGACATTTCATTCTGTACACCAGTACTGGGTATTGTGGTTGAAATAAAAGTTTATCTGTGAGTGTCTTCTCAGCCATATTAATTGCAGGTAACGTAGCATTTGTGTCAGAAGCACAGAAAGTCTCATCTTTATCCTTTTTCTCTGCCTTTGCCTAATGTGTAAGGTTGGGTAGAAAATGAAGATTGGATGGCTTAGGACAAATAACACTGAGTGGAATTTAGTTCAAGAG